ACAATTGTGTGTTAGCAGTTTCTGGCTGAAGTACAGAAATTCACTTGATGACATGTGACCTAGAACTCTCCCAGGGAGCCAAGCTTTGAAGAATGGGATAGCTTATGTGATTTTGGGAAAACAGTAGCTGAACATTACACTTTGAAGTCCTAGATCCCAATTAAAGGCAGGCTATCAACTGGTTCTTAGCTTCACCTATAGCCTCAGTCCGACCCCAGTGTAACAAGGCCACAGACAGCTTTGTTTGACAACCTCCCCAGGTACCCAAAGTTGCACCATTATTCCTCTTGTAGGAGATCATACTCTGAATAGGCATGGACTATAGAAAAACCTGTAACATCAAGCTCATTCTTTGAATACATGTAAGTGTACAGTCTCTGATCTGCACCTATTACCCTGAAATAGCAACAAAATCACTCAAAAACTGGAAATGTAGAGTGTTGTATCACTCAGCCCTTAAGCCACACTGAATCTGGATCTCCCCATGAGGTTGGGGATACAGAGCAACCATGCTGATTGCATTTCAACAGATAAAGTCTGGGGGCAAAGCCAGAACAGACAAACATGATCTGTGTTCATGCAAGGAAAAATATTTTTGTTTGTTGAGATGCACATAACTGAAAAGATGCCTGTTAAAACAAAGTGAGGTGAGACAAGCATTTCACCAAGCTAGGTAACTCTACCATAAACCAGTAAACTTTCATCTGCAGGCCTCTTGCTGAGCAACAGGCATGTCAACAAACTGGCCACTGTGTCAGTTTTTAAAGCCTCTTGAAAGTTTCTTGACAAACATTGATTTTCTTCTTTTTCTGAGCTTCCACTGAACTGAAACTAAAGCCTTCTTTGTTCCACTATACCATCAGCACGTCTCTGTCCATCCCAAAGTAGTCCATTACTATAAAGCCTTACGGGAAAGTTCACGTAGGTGAACAAGAGGTCATAAGCGTTCCAGTGGCAACAAAATGGATCCTTTTTTAAAAACGTACTTACTAATTTTTAAAAAGATATTAAAATGGACATCTGTCTACTACAAGATGCCAAAAAAATATCCATGAATTTGCCCTCAAATTACTTAGCAGTGGCCTGCTCACAATGTGACTTAGGACAAAGAGAAATTTATAAAAAACAAAAACAAATGCCAACAACTAAAAATCAATGAAAAACAAACAAAAAACCCAATAACAAAAAAAAACCAGTGGGCAGAAATATGCAGCTTAAAGAAACACAACAACAAAAAAGCAGTAAGACTTGGTAAATACAATAGGGAGCCGTGTGTTCCTGGTATCCAGAGCCAGGCATGTAAACATTAGTGAACCTTGCAGTAGTACTATCTCCCATTACAAAAAGTGGAACCTCATTCCACAGAACAGCTCTTTGGTATCTCCAAGGAAGCACGGGAGGTGGGGGGGAACCAAAATCAAACCAAACCAAAAGAAGGAAAAAACCCATTCTATTGACCTACAAATGGCAGAGAACGCAAGATTGAAATAGCCCCAAGATGTGGTATTCCACTTGTATTGCCACATGCAATTGGCCAGTCCTATCAAGCAAGAAGCCAAAATGTATTTATCCCTTTCATCATCATTTTAGCAAACAACCACTTCAACCAGCCTGTTGTGCGGATGTTTCCTTTGCAATCACAACCCAATCACTTAGGCAGTTCACAAAGGAGAGGAGAGTCCAGAGGGCAGCTTGCAGCCCACACAACCAAGAGCCTTAGAAGAGCTGTCAAATGAACTTTCAGGTTTTTTGATGAATCTTGAAATAAAAGGGGAATGTGGAAGACTGAAAAATATGCTCGTTTTATACCAGTATTTTACACGGTTGAAATAGGATGAGGCATGTCAGTCTTGTCAGCCTGACGTTGATTCCAGACAAAATAATGAAAAAGCTGATATAAGACTCAGTTAATAAAGGATTAGAGGAGGACAGTGTAATTACTGCCAATCAACATAGACTTTACAGGAAAATATAACTTGTCAAACTACCAACACTTTTTGGTGTGATTATAAGTTTGAATGCTAAAGGCAACAATGTTGATGTAATATATTTTCACATGGTGTTTTACTTGGTGCCAGAAAGCACAGTGATGCAAGCGCATCGTATCAGCTGATAGCTCTAAACTGCACCAGTAGACAAGGAGTCAGGCAGGAAGGTGATACTGGGACTCGTTGGTGTTCCAGTGTTCCAGGCAAATTAGGCTCCTGGCATGGAGATAGCTCTGTCTGTCATGTTGACTCGTATCGCTTCGTTCTCCTCCTGAACTCCTGCTTACTCTATCCATCTGTTGCCACCTCTCCTATAATTTGCCTGGAAGTGCCTTGGTGCAGGGATGGCCACCAGTCCCTGCCTAGTACAAAGGACTCTCTAATCCTGACCTAAGCCCTGCCTCCCATGTCAGAGTCATTCTACCAAACCTACTGTGCTGCTGTACTAGTCTGTCTGCTTAGATAACCAGCAATTTTTAGTGGTTCATTAACCCAGACTGCTCTAAAAATTTATTCACAAGGCAACCTTCCCTACCATGGAGCTATCGTCTGTAAGAGCCGCATGAGAACAAACAACAGAAAGCTGTCCATGTAAAGCAGAGAGCTGAAAGTAATCACGGACAGAACCTGACAGCAACAGCTCTGACATTAAGAAATTTTAGTCAGCACAGCAAACAAATTCATACACCCATAAGTTCTGTCTGCTGCTTTGATTTCCTCTCCACATACAGCAGTAAGTGGGACAGGGGACAGGAGCGGAAGTGTAATTGGGTATATTTTCCCAAACAACAGCTCTCACTCATACTTGACCACAGAGGTCTATTGTCAGTTTTTAGAGAGCTGTCAGGTTAGGAATACAGGGTTTTTTGGCATCTTTTCTCAAATGCTGTAGAGGTTACATAAGAAATACATTTGGCATTTATGCATTTAAACATAACTCAGAAATGACAGTCTGGATACATGGTAGGATGAAGCAATTTAAGGCACTCAAGCTTAGATTAGCCTGTGTTAATAGGAAGACAGATGATTGATTTTACCCTCAGCCAAGGCTCTCAACCTCACCCATAACTGCCAGGCCAGGATTAAAGTACTTTTGAGCTTGAGTAGGGGTTTTTCACTATGACAGTGAAGAAAGAACTACCACAAGCTCTGGCACAGGCTAACTAAAAAAAGAAAGCATACTATCAGCACTGCAACTTTCAATGGCTCTGAAATATAATATTGAAAATGACAGTGCTGTTGACCAAAATAATGAACACAACAAATTCTATGACTATTCCACAATTGCAACCTCATTTTCTGGTTCTCATCTTTCATGCCTGCACTTAATATTTACAGCTTCAACTTTCCTGGTTTCTGCAACACATTAACATGTTTTTGAGCACAAATGTAAAAAAAAGCTGAAAGCATAGGTACAGACTAAAATAAATAGAATATAAAAAAATATCACAAGCAGCTGCTGCATTAGGAAAATTAATTCTGTATTTAAGTCAATAAAAGCCCTTACTGCAGAGTCCCAGCCATTCCAGTCTGAGGTTCCACCACATGGTAAGAGTCAACAAACTTTGCATTAAGTAGGCTTAGCACAGCCCCATACAGAAAAGATTGATCTTGTTTTCTGAAAATCCCATTATTAACAATTTCTGCCTTCTTTTGTTAATCTTGGTGTACACACAACAAAGAGCAAGCACGTGTATTTTGGGGCTCAAATTCCCCAAAACATGCAAGGAGGAAAAACCAAGCTGTTTCCCAGCCACTAAAGAACAGGCAAACTGCAAGGAGGGCTGGAGGGGGGTTGAAGGCAGGTGTCTCCAGCAAAGTGGGGCCATACAAGAGTTCTGCAGTGTTGCCTGGCGGCAAGTATTTATATGCCAGTGTGCTGTTTCCACGTGCCAACAGCCAAAGCCCACACAGGCAGCAAGCACAGGAAAGCATATGCGTCAGCTAAAGCTACTGGTTAGCTCCA